CCTGTACAACTCCAACATTATTTCCTTGCTTTTATACACTATGCTGCAACTGATGAAGCAAGTATCCCATATGCCTTCTTAACTATCCTATTCATGTTCTCTGCCAACTTCAGGGATCTGTAAATAATTACTCCAAGATCCCTCTGTTCCTCTAAGCTACCCAGTATTGTGTCATTCATTAAATACTCCCTCATCTTGTTTCTTCTTCCAAAGTGCATCACCTCACTCTTATCAGGGTTAAATACTATCTGCCACTGGTCTGTCCATCTGACCAACCCATCTATATCTTCCCATAAACTACAAACATCTTCTTCGCTGTTAACCACCCTACCAATCTTGGTGTTGTCTGCATATTTGTTTAACAATCCCCCACATTTTCATCACTATCATTTACGTATATAACAAACAATAAGGGTCCCAGTACTGATCCTCATGGTACACTGCTGGATACCGGCCTCCAGTCACTCATACAACCTTCTACCACCACCCTTTGTGTCCCATTACTGAGCCAGTTTCTGATCCATCTCACCAAGTTTCCCTCCATTCCAAGTGCTCTAACCTTCTCAATCAGGCTCCCATGTGGGACCTTGTCAAAAGATTGCGAGGGGCTGTGAGTGGGTCTGGAGGAGGCTACTTGAAGAACGTAGAAACTCCTGTGAACATTACCTCTTGCCTTTCTTCTCAGACAGTTGGGATGAAAGAAACGTTTTGAGAACTCCCCAGGAAACCTGCTTCCTTTCCTCCTGGTCCACTCCAATACTAGACGTCCTCAGACTTGGGAATTCCAAGGGACTTCCCTCCCAAAGTTTGGAATTCTCAATCTTAACAGTGCTGCTATCAAACCACCCGTGAACTCTGACAAAAAGTCTGTCACAATATGTCCAGCATTTGGAAATCTGTCTAGCTCCAGAACTGTGTCCAAATCCTACCTCATTAATCAATCCACTAACTGGACCAACTTCAAACAGCTCTCAACGTCATCTATTCTGTGTGAAAACGAGAGCTAATGTTTCAATATTTGGCTTGAATTCAAAAATGTAAATAGAATTTTCTTCTCTTTTCTAGAAGTTTCTATTTGCTGGCACCTGGGAATAAGAATGGGAGAATTACCCCCTCAAGCCTGTTTTGCTCTTCAGTTAGATCATAGCAAATTGTACCTTAACTTTATTTACCTGCCTGGGTTCTGTAACACCTTTACGCAGTATTGGCTTATAAATAAATCCAGAATTATAAACTCAGAGATAATAAGAACTGCAGATGCTGGAGTCAGAGATAACACAGTGTAGAGCTGGATGAACACAGCAGGCCGGGCAGCATCAGAGGAGCAGGAAAGCTGACGTTTCGGGTCGGGACCCTTTTCTGAAGAAGAGTCCCGACACGAAACGTCGACATCCCTGCTCCTCTGATGCTACCTGGCCTTCGGTGTTCCTCCAGCTCCACACTGTGTTATCCCAGAATTATTAATCCTTTTTGAAAACTAAATCAGTCCTGGGATTCCCTCCAGTCTCCCCAAGCTTGTACAGGGGGCTATTAGCACAGTTTTCTACTCCTGACTGCTATCCTGGGAGCTCTGCAACAAAGTCTCTGCCTAACACAGGCTTGGCTCTGAGGGTCCTCATGGGTACCTGCACTGCAGTGATTCAATGTTTCAAGTTCATGCACAAAAAGACTAGTTGCTTACCTTGAGGTGGGGGAGATATGGCCATCATTAAGACAGGCCCCTCGAGGAGGCTCCTTTCGAGATTTCTGTAAAGTCTGCCTGAGTGAGTGAACGGGGGTGCAGAATAGACCTGGACTAGGTCATCCAACCGCTCGAGCCTGCTCCACCATTCAATAGGTTAATAGTCGATCCTCCACTTTCCTGCCTTTTCCCCATCTCCCTTGATTCCCCGAATGATCAGGAATCCATCTATCTCAGCCTTAAATACACACAAGCTCTCTGCGGCAAAGTGTTTCAAGGACTCACAACCTTCTGAGAGAAGAAATTCTTCCTCTTCTCAGTCTTAAATTGGTGCCCCTTCATTCTGAGACTATGCCCTCTAGACCGAGACTCTCTCATGAGGGGAAACATTACCACAGCATTTACTCTGTCAAGCCCATTCAGAATCCTATGTGTTTCAATGAGATCACCTCTCATATTTCTAAAGCCCAGTGAATAACCATCATTCGTACAGCACTGACTTCACACTAAACAATACTTTCAAAACAGGCATTTCTTTTTTTCCTTATTTCTTCAGGGAATGTGGGTGTTATTTGGCAAAAACAGCATTTGTTACCCATCCCTAACTGCCTTTGAACAAGTGGCTTACTGGGGCATTTCAGAGGGCAGTTAAGAGTCAACCACATTGCAGTGGGTCTAAAGTCAGGTGTAGGGTCAAGGCTGGGTGAAGATGGCAGATTTGTCTCCCAAAAGAGAATCAGTGAACCAGATGGGATCTTATAACAATCGATGATGGTTTTATGGTCAGTATCACTGAAGGAGCCTAGGGTTTGGGTTCTCCTCCTGTTATAGAGTCATAGTGTTATACAGCACGGAAACAGACCCTTTGGTCCAACTCGTCCATGCTGACCAGACATCCCAATCTGACCTAATCCCATTTGCTGGCATATGGGACATATTTCTCCAAACCCTTCCTATTCATAAATCCATCAGATGTCTTTTAAATGTTATAATTATAACTCCCTCACCTCCTCTGGCAACTCATTCCACACACACACCACCCTCAGCGTGAAAAAGTTACCCCTCGGGTCCTTTTTAAAGGTCCATTGCAGATGGCAGTGCGCCTGGAGTTACATGTAGGCCACGACCTTTTGAATGGTGGGGCAGGCTCGAGGGGCCGAACAGCCTTCTCCTGCTCCTAGTTTTCATGGTCTTATGAAAGTAATTAAACATCACATGACCCACAATTATTGCAGCCTGTGGAGAATGAGCCATATTAATATGTCTGGTGACAAATTGAACTTCTGGCTTTTACAAGTTAAAACAGAAAGCCCATCATCACCCCCTGAAATTTACTGGAACTAAAAGGTGAAGTAAACTACATCTGAGAATGCCAATAGGCAATGCATTATTCCACAGGTTGGAGTTAAATCCAGATCCTAGCACCTTATTTATTAATTGATTCTTTCACGGAGTGTGGGCATCGCTAGCACGGTCAACAATTGCTGCCTATCCCTAATTGCCCTCAAACTCAGCGGCTTACTCGCCATTTCAGTTGGTCATTCAGAGTCAATAAGACATAGGAGTAGGAATTGGGCCATTCGGCCCATCGAGTCTGCTCCACCATTCAATCATGGCTGATAAGTTCCTCAACCCCACTCTCCTGCTTTCTCCCTGTAACCCTTGATCCCCTTGATAATCAAGAACCTATCTATTTCAGTCTTAAATGTACTCAATGACCTGGCCTCCACAGCCTTCTGTGGCAGTGAATTCCATAGATTCACCACTCTCTGGCTGAAGAAGTTTCTCCTTATCTCCGTTCTAAAAGGTCTTCCCTTTACTCTAAGGCTGTGCCCTTGGGTCCTAGTCTCTCCTACCAATGGAAGCATCTTCCCAACATCCACTCTGTCCAGACCATTCAGTATTCTGTAAGTTTCAATTAGATCCCCCCTCATCCTTCTAAACTCCAATGAGTATGGTCCCAGAGTCCTCAAACGTTCCTCATATGTTAAGTTTTCATTCCTGGGACCATTCTCGTGAACCTCCTCTGAACCCGCTCCAGGGCCAGTACATCCTTCCTGAGATATGGGGCCCAAAACTGCACACAATACTCCAACTGTGGCCTGGCCAGTCACACATGTTGCTGTGGGTCTGGAGTCATGTGTAGACCAAGAGGCAGATTTCTTTCCTTTAAAAAGTCATTAATAAACCAGATGGGGTTTAAATGACAGCTGTTTAAGGTTCTTGGCCACTATTACAGAGATTAATTGGATATTCCAGATTTATTAATTAAAGCCAAATTGATTTGCCATGACGGGATTTGAATCCACAGTCCTCAGAGCATTGACCTACTGGATTACCCACCCAGAGACATTACCACTACACCAGCATCTCCACTGAGAAACGCATGTCAACTAATTTGATCAACTATATCACCAACTGCTCTGTTAACCATGACACACTGTACACAGATTAGGCCATTCGCACCACCTCACATGTGAAAGGGGAAAAAGCATTCTATTTATTGGTGGTCTGAGCAAGTGATTCCCACACACAGATTTGGACTTTATTGTGTCTCCTCATCGCCATGCAAACCAACGTTTCTTAACCAGGTTACAGCTCTTGAAATACCTGTGACTGATTTCAGAATAAGGCTGCAAGGTTGAAAGCTGGATGGGTAGTTGCTATTCCAAGTAATGTCACAGCCCAATATCCCCATCACATTACTTCCCCACATTGCCAAACACTCCGACCTATCCTCCACTCTCCACAGTTTAAGATCGTGGAACTACGTCGTATTTCTAGCTCAGAAACTTGCTGTTTGGCCCAACTGCTCCATTTCCTCCCAACACACCCTTCTATTCAAACTACTACTCCCTGGTACAGTATTGTATGCGAATCTTGCTCAAAAGGGAGCCAGATTGCTGAAGCCTTTTTACTTACAATCATCAGGACAAGCGCGAGATTGCCAAAATCGGGAGGCTCCCAATACTTATCCTACAGGACAACAGGGTGCTGATTGGTTGCCAATCAATTTGCTGAGACTTTCTCCAGTGCTATACATTGCCAGAGAAAAGCCTCGGCCAATTAGAGTTGACTATTGGCACCCTTTCCCCCCGTAGTATAAATTGTTGTGATTGTTTGGAATTTGGCATTCTTGCATGTGTCCTGATGAGTGTAAGATGAAAATCTTTGGCAACGCATCTCTCTTTTCAGTGAAATCCTTTACCCCACGGGTACTTATTTAATTTCTCCTCGGAGATGATTGGATCAATGCATCCGATGTAATAAACACCACAATTTCTAACGACGACAGAGTGAGGATGTGATCTTATTTTACCTGTGTTCATCCTGCGCTTCGGAGATTTCAGACTCCTGGATCTACCCGGCACCGAGTTTCCATTCTCACTCATGGAGTCCTGGGCCGAAGACGTGCTTCCTGTGGCCTCGCTATCCCTGATCATGCTCTCATACCCACTGCTGCCCCCACTGTGGTAGAACAGGGCGGTTTTGCCCATGGCTGGGGGGAGTTCACCACTTAGCACGCTACTGTTGTCACTGCCGTGACCACTGCTGCATCGGTGAGGTTTGCGGGGTGGGGTGACCTTGCTGTAGGGCGACGGGAGGGCCTGGGGGGGGGGCTTCTCACCCGAGTGCGGGCTCCATTTCTCCGAGTCGGCGCTGGCCCGCAGGTGGCTGCCCCTGGAGCCTGCAGTCCCCTGCAGCAGCTCGGAGATCCTGCCGTTGACAGCCCGCAGGGGAAGCTTGGCCACGATGCTGGACCCCCTGCTCTGCTTGCTGCTGAGAGACTGGGTGGACCAGGACATGTTCCTCGAGTTGGAAGGCATGCTGGAGCTGCGGCCAACAGACTGAGGCAGCGATTTGGTGGAGAAGCTCAGGGTCTTTGTGCTGGATGCCGAAAGACTGCGTGACTTGGGTCCGGCTAGGAGCAGCTTGCTGACGGCTGACATTTTGGAGGCGCCTGACTTTGGGGAGGTGCCCACTGATGGCGGAGTGCCAGGCTGCGTAGGTGATGACACAGTGGCTCGATTCAGGCTGCGGCCTGCTCGAGGCATTGTGCTGTCTCGGGACGCGCTGACCTTCGACCCCACGGACGTCAAGCTCCCTGCCCTCTCCAAAGAGAGGCACTCGTACTGGCCAGCGTACCGTCTGTTCAGGGAGTTAGGCCGACTGCTGAACAGTTCACCTTTCCCACTGCTTGCTTTGCCGCAGTTCTCCAAACTTGGGGCCTTGGCTTTGACGTGGACACCGCCTTCGTCTGGCGTAGCCGCCAACACCGTCGTAGCCTGGCTGTTGCCACCCAGCGTGTGCTGGGCACTGGCTCTGTTCCTCTGATCGAGGCTTGACTTCCTGACCGGGGGCAGCGGGGGCATCCCTTTAGGCCGGGCCGGCAGCAGGCCGTGCTTGTTGGGGGAGCCCACTCTCCTCTCCAGGGTGGCTTTGGGGCTGCAAGGGGTGGAGGCCTGCGACGTGGTGGTAGTCGTGGAAGTGCTGCTGCTCTCCGCAGGGAGGCACAGAGGCCTGAGGGAGGCACCCTCCAGGTTGTCTTGTTTGGCGAGCAATGGGCGCGGTAGTGCCTGGGATAAGCTGCCCTCCTTGGCACTGTCCAGTGAGAGGGTGGAGCTCTGACTGCAGGAAGCAGTCGGTGCCACCTCGCAGCCATCCACCACCCTCTTGGAAGGATCTCCCCGCGCGGGGGAGACAGGGGTTTCGGACCTGCCGCTGCCAGGGCTTTCGGCCGCGGTCTGCTTTCGACTCCCTCCTCTGTCAGCACTCTCGTTTCCATCCAGCCCAGCGTCCTCCAGCTCCTCTTCCTCCTCCTCTTCCTCGTCCTCCTCCTCCTCCTCCTCGTCCTCACGCTTCAACCACGGGTCATCGAAGGTCATGTCCTGTGAGGTGCCGGCGGCCCTGGCGTGGTGATGGTGGGGGTGCGCTGGAGGACAGCTGACAGATGCCAACACATCGTGCTGTTCGGGGAAATGCACCGGCTTCAGCCTGATACAGGGGTGCACCGAAATGTTCGTCTGAATGGGGAAACAGCCCTCACCCCTGGGCAGGCCCGAAGCATTTGATATTCTGACCGTGGTCTTCCCCAGAGCTGCGATCTTGCAGTTCTGGTTGGCGGCTATCTGGTAGAGGCCTTTGGCCTCGTTGGCCTTCTCCGACATGCTGAAGAATTTGTCCATGACGGAGTTCTTCCCGCTGCAAGCGTACGCCATACACTCCTCTTGGTGACTGCTCACCACATCCAGCAGCGAGGGGTCTGCCAAGGCTTCACCATTATCGCTGCAGGTCTGGGTGACAAAGCTGTGACAGGACTGCTCACCGTCACTCCCCGTGCTCATCTCACTGAGCCAGGAGCTAATGGATGAGCGGTGGCTGCTCGAAACCAACACTTTCTCGTCTAGGCCCGGCTTGGGGAAGGGCAGGAACTTGGTGATGCTGACTTCGGAGAAGGGGCTAGTGCTCGAATAGCAGTCCAGGTCCTCGTTGATGCTGCTGATGATGCTGACGGGCCTGGAGCCTGAGGCCAAGGCCTGCACCGAGCAGTCGCTGTTGAAGCTGATAATGCTGGTGGGCCGGCCATTCTCCAGAATGCCGCTGATGGTCAACTCCTCGACCAGAGTGAACACCAGCTCGTCCTCCCCATTCAGCTCTAGGGGCTGCTGCAGGGTGACTGTGGCCCAGCTCATCATTTCTTTCTTGTCGATGTCGGAAGGCTCCTGCTCTTGGTCTGAGAGGGTGGAGTCCTGTGAATACTGCGTGCCCGAAGACACGGATCTCTTCATCACCTGGGGGCTCATTCCCACCGGGGCTGCCCTGATTTCCCTCTTGCAGTCCCTGGTCGGTGTGTGGGGTGGGGGAGCAGCCGGGCTGGGCAGGGAGCCTTTCTGGGTGTACACCTTGCAGCGCTGAGAGGGTGAGTGTTGGAGCTTGTAGTCAGAGCTCTTTGACAGGCTTGCTATCCCGAGCCTTGGGGAGCCCATGGGCCTGGGCTTAAGCTCTGCGCTGCTGCCACTGTGTGGGACATCCTTCGTGCTCTGACTCCTCGATGATGCGTTTAGTTGGGTGTTGCCACCTCCCATGATGCTCCGGGGGGAGGACGGTGCTGAACCGCCTTGCAGCACGGCCTGGGCTCGCACGGGGCCAGGATTGGCGTCCTCTGCACTCTCCTCAGGGGCCCAGCGCGTCATGGTCTGTCCGAGCAGTTGCTGGGCCTCTCCCCTCTGGGCCTGCACCTCCTCGCCCATCACAGGCTGCTCACTGCACGGAAGCTCTTCGAAGGGGAACTTGTCTGACTCCTCGCTGCCGTCGATGCACTCCAGTCGCTCCTGCAGCTCAGCGAAAGTGTTGCACTTTAGGCAGTCCTTCTCCGGCAGCACCGCCACAGGCTCTGTGCTGCCTTCGGGCCTAGCCTCATTCTTGTTCTTCTGCAGTGAGGGAATTATGGGCACGAAGTCGGGTGGCCCCTCGTTGTCGGTCAGCTCCTTATCACTCAGGGTGGTGCCGTTAGGGCCTACATAGATGACGGTGTCACATGACTGCTCGCTGCTGGATGAGTAGTCTGGGTCGCTCGACAGGTTTAAGATGGGGAGGTCCGCATCCCCTGCTCCCCTCGGGTGGAATGGTCGGAGTTGTGTGGGCCGACGCATCCTTCCTTCCTCACACGAACTCTCACCCCCGGACGAACTGGAGGTATACTGCGGTCAGAGAGCAGAAGACAGTGAGAGATTAACTATATACAAACCCCAACTCCAACCGCCACTTTTAACATGCAATCACATGGCACATACCAGTCTCCCCTTGAGTGAGAGATAGTCAGCTCATCCCAAGAGCAAATTGTTTTTTTTTTATTTGGGATGTGGACGACGCTGGCTGGATCACCATTTACTGCCCCATCCCTAATTGCCCAGAGGGCAGTTTAGAGTCAACCACATTGCTGTGGGTCTGGAGTCACGTGTAGGCCAGACTAGGTAAGCATGGCAGTTTCCTTCCTTAAAGGGCATTAGTGAACCAGATGGGTTTTTCCAACAATTGATAACAGTTTCATTGCCACAATTAGGTTCTTAATTCGAGATTGATTTTCAAAATGAAAGTAGAATTAGGGGTTGGCCATTGAAAACTGCGATGGAGAAAAATCTCTACTGTGAAAGAGTGGTGAAACTCTGAAATTTGCTGCTCCAAAGGACGCAGTCACTGGATGTATTCAATACAGAGGTGGACAGATTTCTGGAGACTGCTGCCTTACGGGTATGGAGATTATGTAGGAATGTGGGATGGCAGAGTAGGCTTGAAAGGGGCTGAATGGCCTCCTCCTGTTCCTAAGTCTCCAAGTAATGCTGAATTGGAAGTGCTGGAACCAGATGCCAGCCTGGGCTCACCAGATCACTCTGCCCCGTCTGAATGATATTGGATTTAATAGCCACACCAGAGGCCTGAACACAGAATTTAAGCTGGTACCCCAGTATGGAGCAGGGTGCTGCACTGTCAGAGGGGTCAACTGCCCATGAGTTATTAAACTGTGGGTGGGGAGGGATGGGGACACCTGACTCTCTGCTCCGCGTGTCAAGATCAAAAAATGGGGGAGGGGGTTCTCCAAAACAATGCACAACGTTCCCAACAGATTGTCTGGTCGTTGATCACAGAGATCTAGTGTGTGGGATCTTGCGGAGTGTGTAATTGGCTGCCAACTTTCTTATGTTCCTGTAATGACTATACCTGGGAAGTACCCAATTGGCTGCACAAGTGTTTCGGGGTATACAGAGGCCAGGAGAAGCAGGAATGTAGGTTTTTTAAGCTGCAACACAGGTCCTCAGGGTGGATGCACTGGCAGAGAAGACTGTTGGGCTTCCAGGGTCAAGCTGCCCTGCCCTCACCTGGCCCAACCCTGGGGCAATGGGCTGTGAACCCAGGATCACTGCCTCTTCTTGGGCCATACAGACGTATAAGGAGTTGTGGGACACAGCTGGCCCATGGTAACAAACCCATGCCATAACTAGGCAGAAGAATGAATTGTGGTTATTGTAGGATGGCATTAAAACGTATTGAGACATGTTCTGCTCGATGTCTGTAATTTACACCAGCCTTCGATTTATCACGCAGAGAGACTACAAAGTATTACGAGACTGTCGTAAGGAAGGAATCCCCTTCTATTTATTTTCACCAAACCCATTTGCTAACTAAAAGGATCCTCAGATGGATGGACAGGTGTATTTTGTGGCCCAGAGTGAGAATGGAACACGCCAATTTGGTCTGTTATAAAACTGTCTCCCGCTTAGTATTCCATTTTCGGTGTTTTATCAGGTCCTTCGTTTCCCTACTGCGAATGCAGTATTTAGGAAAATAAGGAGGTTTTGTTTTTAAAAGGAATGAAAATTAACTTTCAAATGAAGGTAGGCAAGCTGACAGCTCTCGTGCCAAGCATCGTGGCTACTGGGTCATGGTCATGGGCCTAAAGGATTCAGACAATTGATCGACACAGTGGAATCTACCAGCTCCTGGAAACAGGACTTACTAACAAGTGCTCAGGGGCAGGTCGCAGTCCCCATCAAGTGGTCCTCATTGGGTGGTCCTCAGCAGGTGGTTCTCATTGGGCCACCCTCATTGTGCGGTCCTCATTGGGCGGTTGACATTGGGTGGTCCTCATCGGGTATTCCTCACTGCGTGGTCCTCACTGGGTGGTCCTCTTTGGGTAGTCCTCATTGGGCCATCTTCATTGAGCGGTCCTCACTGGGTGGTTCACATTGGGTGGTACACATTGGGTGGTCCTCACTGGGTGGTTCACATTAGGTGGTACACATTGAGTGATCCTCACTGGGTGGTTCACATTGGGTGGTACACATTGAGTGGTTCACATTGGGTGGTACACATTGGGTAGTCCTCACTGGGTGGTTCACATTAGGTGGTCCTCACTGGGTGGTTCAC